GTATATATATATATATATATATATAAAAGTTTTATATATTGCAAAGAACTAAGAAGGTACTAATCAGAATTACAATTAGTATCTTTCAAGTCATTATTTTTTAGCTTCTGAATTTGAGGGGCGCTTATTTTACTTTTCCAGGTATATTCCTAGCTATTGTTTCATCTTTAATTGCCTTTAACAAATCCTTTTCACGTGAAGAAATTTCTTTGTCTCTGAGAAATACAGCTACAGCTGTCTTAGCAGCTTTTCCCCTCTTTCCAATTCCAGGTGTCAATTTCACCTTGAATCTAACATAAATATTGAAGTTTATCATGAATAAGAAATTATTAAGCATTTGATGCAATTACTTACTTATAATTTTGTAAGGTATTATAAGGTGCCACTACAGGTACCGCAAACAATAATTCGTCTTCTGAAAAAGGTTTTCCTGTTAATTGATCGAGCATGTCAACTTCAGGAATTGGACCTATGTCTTCATCATCAACATTATCTGGTATCTGTACAGGTTGTGATGGAATATTTGGTTTCGGATTTGTTTTTTTCTTTCCTTGTTGCTTTGGGCCCGATGGATCTTTAATTCTATTTTTTCTTTTATCTTCTTTAGCTGTACCTGCCGACTAATAATTAGGAAAAATAAAGATATTAAAATAAATGAAAAGAGCAAACCTTCATATAAAATTGAAAAAAAGATAAAACCTGCAAGACAAGCATTGAAAGTCTTCTATCTTCCTCATCCTGATCTTTGTATTTTTCTCTCATCTTCTTTAACTTTCCTTTTTGTCCACGTTTTAATGCAGGTTGCTCTCCTTTTTTGTTATCATTTTCACTCTTATCATTCTTTTCGATCTTTTCTATTGGTTCTTTTGGGTGTGTTTTTGATTTTACTTTTGTATGTTTTTCTGTAGTTGATGTATTCACTATGACAGGTTTATCATCTCCTAAATAAACTATATTTTCTTTTGTATCCTTTTGAGATTGTATCAAGGGTTGATTATTATCAACGTACAATTTTACTCTGTTTAATACAAGATTGCATTACATATAATTTGATTTTAATTATAATTGAAAATTTTATATCAACTTACTTTGGACCTGAAAGGTCAAGCTTAATTTGTGTATCAGGAAATTGATATTTCATGTCTTCTTTATCACTTTCTTCATATGCACCTTCTTTAGTAATAGTTAGTGTACTATTATCAATAGTATAAGAATCTGATTTCTCTCCCTCCTGGTCTTCCTCTTGAATTGGATTTAACATATCTTTGTTATCTAGATTTTCATCTAACATTAAAAATACAAGTTATTGAAAATATATTAATAATTAAGCAATAATTTCATTAAATGTTAGATGATTTACTACATTATTTACTTTCATCTGAATCGCCTTCTAATTCTATTTCCTTATCATCTTCAATTATTGAATCTGCTTTTTCACTTTCTTCGTCCAGGGTTTTTACTCTTCTCTCATCCTTATGTCGTTCTATAGAACTATCCTCCAGTCTAAACATGATACCCAATCCCATAATTAATTGACTTTGTGTAAGATAATTTTTTTTCCCACGTATCATGAAGGATCCGGTAGAAAGATATTCTCCAGTAGGCGCACTCTTGGATACTTGGTCATGGTGTACCCACCATGCACTAGCTATTACTTTCGAATCCCATGCTATACTATGAACATAATATATTAATCATGATTACAGTATAGTATTTGAAAATATATATGTAAATTTAAAATATGAAAATAAGGATCTATGCATCTGCATACCTATATGCAACGGCCATTGTACCTGCTTCTGCTAACGATTTTGGCGGGATAGGATTGCCACTGGGATTTTTAATTACGACAGAACTGGCACCAGTTAAATCTGCATGAACATATAAATCTCCCGCTTTTAAATATCTTTTCACTATCAATTCATTCTGTTGTTGATCTCTCCCTCCAATCACTATAGATTTACACATATTAAAGTTTTTACAATAAAGTTTTAATAATAAATTATTTTAATTATTAAAAGAAAAATCTACCTAAATAATTTTCAGACGTGATAAACCAATAAAATTTTTCAAACCAATATGTCTTCCTTAATTTATTAATAGTATGTATGGTTTGTACTTCTTTCAATGTTTGCTTTGTCTTTTTTTCCGTCCGACTTTAAAGCTTTTCCCTGGGACTCAATTGTTTTTTGTTGCTTTTTTGCGGCTGACTTTTTTGACTATAATATTTTTTGGCGTTACTGAATGCTGTATGAGCTAAATCGATGTCAATAATCATAGGCTTCAATTCAGATTCTTCGTCGCTGTCTTCATAAGGATCATGCAATAATAAGGAAATATGATTTGTTTCTAGTTTTAATTGTTTTATAGCAGAAGCGACAGGATCACCTCTAGCTTGAGCTTCTTTTAATAAGATTTGAATATCCGGCCAAGACATTTGATTTGCTAAAGCACTTTGTATAGCTAATATAGCGTTATCTACTAAGACTTGATTTCTCGAAATTAATTCTGCTTTTTGTTTATCCAATTCTTGCGTTTTTTCTAATGTAATCAATCTCTGACTGTGATCCTTTCTTACTCTCTCTAATTTTTGTAAAGCCTCTTTTTCCTGTTGTAAAGCCTTTAAATCTATTTTTTGTCCTTCCATTGTAGAAAAATATTCATCCACTGCGGTGTCAAAAGAATCAAATTCCTTATATGGTTGATCTTTATTTTGTTCAAACAAGAAAGGATGAAATTCAATATTAGCAAATATAAAATCTTGTTTGCCATCTTGAGTTAGTTTTGATTCTTTTTTCTGTATAACATAGCCTTTCGAAATATTTTTCTTTGCATGATCTACCATATTATTTGCATCCTCAAGTGCTAGAATTAATCTTGGCATATCTTCAGTGATGTTAAAATCTTTACCGATTTTGCAACCAAGATTAAATCCGGCTTTAAGTAAAACGTGATCGATCACGGCTGAACCAAATTCTAACAACGGATTTAACACTTTTTTAAGACTATCCCCCTCTTTAGCTTTCTGAATATGCTCATGGATTACATTTATAGGAGGCATAGTTGTGAAATGTGCTCTGTCTAAAGGATATATCTCCTTCACTGCGAATCTAGATTACATTATATGATTTTAATATCAATATTTTATATAGTAACATATTCATTTTACGTTATATACATTTTGTACATTTACCTAATTTTATCTCCCTCTGTATGTGGTCTTAACACATATAAAATTACCATCTCGTAATCAGTAAGAATTATATTTCCACGATCATATACTTCTAAAATTATATGATAGGCAGCTTCGCCACTTCCAAATTGTAATTTTACTATACGATCCATACCAACTTGGATAAGACTTTCTAATCTTTTATTCTTAAGATGTTTACGCATCTATAAAATTATATAAATCCTATAAGTATTCATTGTTATGGATAATAAGTACAATTGTTTCATGATTTAATATTATTATTATATACCTTCATAGAAAAACCTGAAGGAGCTACATTTTTTGGCCATTCGAAATTTGTAGTATGGATTCTATTACCGGATTCAAGTAGAAGAACACATTTTTCCTCGCTACGTTGAAGACGTATGAGATATGTTCGGTGATCTATATCGTATATTTGATTGACACGCATACCAATAAGCCTAAAAATAATTATATAAATGAAACAATTTAGGTATATAACAAAATTTAGAAAAATTGTTAACTTGTATTGTCTATTTATATTTATTGTCTAATTTATATTAATCATAATTAATAACTGCGAGTGATTGAAAAAGATTATAAAATTATGATTATATTTTGAAAATATATTACATATTTTGAAAAGTTGAACATTCTGATCATAACCTTAATATATTATTAAAACTTGAAATTATTTTTATCTCTGTCTTACCTCTGCAGTTCAGTTACTGAACATACAAGATCGTAAGTATTAAATCGTGTCTTCATTTTTAGGTAGATTTTGCTTCAACTTTGAGGAATATTTATCAAAAAGGAGTTTGATGTCTTCTGACAGTTATGCTGGCTTGTACAATGTGACGCTAGGTGTTTTCTCTGTCGGCTATAATTGGGAACACTCACGTATAATCAGTAAACAGACGTGTCATATACGCAAATAAAATATAAATTAACATTTAGCAAAAATTTTTTGCGAAATTAATCTTATCTATAAACCGTTTATCTGTTAAATTTTATTCGAGATATCTCTTTTCTCTCTCTAAATATTGAATATAGTTATCTCATCAGTAAGTATAAGAAATGCATTAAAAAAAAACAGAGAGAGAATAAGTATTATTAATTTTAGAAACAGAAAAGTAAGATATAAAAGTAAGATATAAAAGAAAAGTAAGATATAAAGAAGTTGAATTTATATTTGTTACAAAAATCCATTATAAAAATTATTTTATGTGTTAATAAGAGCCTTGAAAAATCGAGTTATTTTAATAGCAATTTTATATATACACAAGCCAAATAGAGAATACAAAACCAAATATATGTTTAGAGAAATAATAGATAAAGAAGGGAGAAAAATAAAGAATAAGACAGATTTTAAGCATTTTTTTTATTCAATAATATGAATAAGACATAAACATTGTGGATATTAACGATAAGATTTCTGGTATCGTGCCCTGGCACCTGGACCACCAAACTTCTTTGGCTCGCACCTCCTTGGATCAGCAACAAGTAAAGTACGATCATACTGGATAAGGATATCTTTTACCTCTTTCTTGCTGGCTTCGTCGACATCTTGAAAGAAAAACAATATTATTAAATTATTTTTAAATTGTAAGCAATCACTAATTTATTACTTACATTTCTGATAATAAGCAACGAGAGCTTTGGAAATAGCCTGACGAATGGCATAAATTTGTGCAACATGACCACCACCACTAACTCTTACTCTAATATCGACTCCAGAGAATTTTTCCTGAAACATAAACGTGGAAACATCTGTTTGATGAAAAATCGCATCTTACTGTGCTTGTAAGAGGATCGAAGAAGAAATTGCTTTCAGAATCGATTCCTAATCATGAACCATCATGTTCGGAATAAAAAGGCATCACGGATCGACCTGTGATGGATAGATGTCACAAATTTATCTGGTATCACATATAGATTCTGAGAATATTCACAGAATATAAATTTCATATATTTTCTGTGTATTTGAGATATGCATTATGCTGTAAAACTGAACATAAAATATTCATCTTAATTTTTGTTATTTGAAAATTGTTTACATCCAACATGTCTATATTCAGTATAACTATATTGTTGGACTTCTGCCACAAATTTCAGGTAGAATGTAGTTAGCCAAGTTTTTTGAAGTTTGAGGCAATCCAAGAAAAAAAGCGTGATTCCTAAAAACAATACATACTTGCCACATAAAAATTGAACATAATACATCTTTTTGTATTTTGTTTATAATATGATATATCTCAAATACAGGAAGGATATATAATTTACTTTTTCAATATCCTTCAAACATTCTCTAAATCAATATATGCTGCTATGACGAATCGCAAAGTGTTATGCCTCAATCCTCTTCATGATCAGTCTTAAGAATCCTCTTTTCCTCACTCACCTTGCCTAGCAGCAGGATGGGCTCCTGCAATTTGTATTGCAGCACGCGGGGCTCCACCAGCTCCAGCGGCCTGCCATTGACGCGGAGATTTCCACGGCCACGCTTACAATAAGCGACTGCGGTTGCACTTTTCTGCAACGAGAATACACCACGTTAAACACCACAAGATTACGCCACGCGCAAAATCTAACCTCACAACGCTCACCTTGCGTCCGAAGACCTGCACGGAATGGATCGGTTCCTTTTGTTTCTGAAAAAGCAAAACGAGATTCGGTCAATCAATTAACACTTTCAGTCGAATCGACATATTTTCAATTGCGGGAACAATCCGGCACTCACCTTCTGCATCTTGACGATCAAGCAGCACGCTGTAAAAAGGGACAGAAAGGAAGTTGCTCATGATACGCGCAGTGTTTTCGTCTAAGACTACGTCAGTCCAACGAAATTCCATTTCGGTTCAAATACGAATTGGGAAATACGTAAAAATGCATTAATTTAAATTATAAATCGGAGTTATAAATTGCAAGATAATTATTCGTGGAAATTAAGCTAGATTTAGTAATTATTAATTTATATCGTTTTCGTTTAGATCGTCGTCGCTAAATACAGCAGTGCTCGGGCGCCATTTTCCCGCTATTTTGTAGATGCGCGAACATTCGAAGGCTTCGCAGCAAGATGCGATCGCTCCGCGTTTTCCGCATTTGTTTTCGTTAAAATTACATCGGGAGTGCCAAATAGATTTTTCAGCCGATAATCAACAATTTCGACGTTACTTCAATTATTTTCGTTTACATGTTTCACTTAATTCAGAAGTTCGACTTTTCGTCCTCAGCATAATGAGTAAGACGCATTCTCCGATTAATCCGATTAATCTTAGGAATCCCACGGATTATTTTTATCTGATAGTTTCTAATTACGAGAGAAAAAAATGATAAAGAGATTATTATTAAATTTTTTTAATTTGACGCATAAAAAACTCAAAGCGAGAAAAGGAAGATCAAAATAAAGTTAAAGAAAGATAGCAGAGAGGTAATACGAAATAATCACACGGAGCCAGTAGTACAATGAATCATGATTTTATTTGTTATATAATAATATCTACAATAAAAATCCATATCGTTTGAAAAACATTTTCGTACAATTATACAGTAATTTTAATAATAATATAATATATATTTAGGTTTCGTTCCAAATTAAGACGTAGCGATGAAC